GGGGGCGGGCAGAGAGAGAGGGCTCATTCAACTCATTGGTTGGAAGCGGGTAGGCGGGGGTGAATCATTGGGAGAGGATAAGGGTTTATAGTACTTTATACACACAAGGACAATAAAACCGAAAAGCAGGCTTGGGTTTTGGGGCTTCCACTTGCACAGCACACAATTTTTTATTTATTTTTTGTTCTGCGATGGTTTGGGGGTTTGATATGGGGGAGTCATTCGTTGGGAGGGTGTTGGTGGGTGTCATTCATTGGGAGGGGGCAGAGAGTGAGGGCTCGTTGGCTGAAAGGCGGTTGGTGAGGGACATTCATTGGGAGGGGATTGGAGTTCGATAGACACAAGGACAATACAACACACACAGAAACACCAATACCTGATACAAACATAGCACTACCAAACGTGATCGGTGTATGACGAAATGATAACAAAGTCAACATGACAACCTCGCCAAACATCCACAGTTTTCAAGAAAACCATAACTAATGACGCTGTGTAGGAAAAAAATACTACAACCATCTACAACTGACAACGTAGGGCAAGTGTGAAACCAAACAACTAAGAACATGAAAGTAATGTACAAATAAAATATAGATAATATACAAAAATATGAAGTAAAAAACTAATCTACCCTATTACACAAGTCTCTAACTCCTTCTATCGTGCCTAGTATGAGTGTTGTGACCAATGTGACATGCTCCGCTCCAACTCCCTGCCCATGCTCCTCTCTGCCCACTCTGACCCCTACCATGTGGTGCTCTATCTCTCCCTACGGGTGCAAGGTGTGGGCCTGCCGCGACCGCTGCTCTCTGATGCCTCTCTCTGCGTGCAACAGTTTCGATGAGCTCAGTCCCGATGTCCGCCTCCTCGGCCTGTGCCTCCGTCTCCGACCTCCTCTCACGCTCTCGAATCAGCTCCGCCAACCGCTGCTGCTCAGCATCAATCTCCGCCTCAAGATCAATGATCGAGCCATGATGTCTCGACCCCTGTAGCATATGCAAGTCATCCTCGCTCGATGTGAACAGCAGTCCCTGCCGTCTGTCTTCCATGGCTGATCGGGCCGGATGCGGCACCACCCTCTCGGTCCTCCTCGTCCCAACTCTATCCAATCGGAGTATACGTCCTGCTCTGTGGACACTCGGTCGTCCAGCCTCAATCGCACCCGCTGCAGGCCCTCCCTCCCCGGATGGTTCTCGTGCGAACAGCCCCTGTCCTCTATCGTAGTCCCTCCTCAAACTGTCCGTCACTCGCTTGCAAGATGACCACCCCACAAAAACACCACGTCGATGACTCGAAGAAAATCCCTGCCCGCTGCCTCTACCACCAGTCGGTGGAAGACCTGTGGCCAGCGTCGGTCCCTGATGCAATGCTCGAGCTAAAGGGCGTMAAAGTGGCGGCACATGGCTGCTGGCAACCCCGCCTGAAAGCACTACCGCCTGTCTGTCCAAGGACTCCCGCTCGCGGATGTCGGACTGCGATGATCCAGTCCACCCAGGGCTCACTGGTGCCCATGCGGGAGGCGAGGGCTGTCCACCGGTGAACGGGAAAGGGTCCTCCGTCCCCAACCTCTCCAGCTGCTCCGGATGCAAAGGGGTCGGTGTGCACTCCCCCGGTTCCCCGCCATCCCACTGAGGCATCTCCCCGGAGTGCCCACCTGCAAAGAAAGAGACCGGGCGGCCCGAGTCAACATGCCTTCCAGACTCCAGTCTCGACATCTCGCACCGACGGGGGCCTAACAATCATCGCGAGGGACATGTCGATGGTCGCTCCCTCCTCCTCAACATGCCCTCCAGTCTCACCATCTCGCACCGACGGGGCACTGTGGCCTGCGTGGACCGCTGCTCCCTCCTCCTCAACCTGTGTTGCGTCATCATCCAAAGGCGCACTGCCTTCGACCCGCGCCATCTCCTCGGGAACCTGTGCTGCGTCAACCTCCAAAGGGACACTGCCCTCGTCCACCAACTCCTCCTCAACCTGTGTTGCGTCATGAGCCAAAGGTACACCCCCCTCATCCACCATCTCATCCTCCCCTCCATGAATCCCGCCATCTGTGTCAGCCGCGCATATGCCAACTACAACATCGTGTACGATAGCCTCTGCGGTCTCACACTCCTCGTCGTCGTTGGAGCTCTTAGCTCGTGAGTCTGCCCCGACTGTCTCAAGACCCCCAACATCACCACCCTCGCATCGCACCTCTGCCTGCCCCCCGTCGCCAGCGTCCAATCCGCATGTGTCAGCACCAGGACCCTCAACATGGGAGGGGGGCTGCATCGTGTTTGAAGTCAGCACCGGTCCGACGCTCGATGGTGAACCCGCCCCACCCTGCACTCCAGTACTCTCTAACTCCCTCCGTCACCGTTGCTCGGCCTCATACTCCTCTCTGCCATCCCACCGAGGCATAGACTGTAACCATGCCTCCTCCTCACGATCAAGGCGAGCGTCCCTCTCCTCAACTGCCTCCTCCCTCTCCCTGACATCCGTCCTGTACTCAGCTTTGTTACCCATTCTGCATCGTAAGACAGGCGAGCCCCTATGCGAACCCGCGATATCGAAATCGCTGGTGCGCAGGTCCGATGTCACGGCCTGAGCGGGGCCGCTGTGTGACGGAGTCCCGTCCACAATGGGTCTGTCATGAGGTTGCTGAGACGCCGGACCGCTACGCTCTGCCAACCTGTGCAACCGTCGAAGCTGCTCTAACCGCTCCCTAGAGTGGTGGCTCGGATCCAACCGAAGGTCCCAAAGGCGGTCATCGTCAGCTGCCTCGCCCTCGTCCTCGTCACTCGAGTCCACCCCTAAGGCTCTCCTCGCGTGCGGGGGAGCGTAGTGAGCAATAACGCCACGACCTCGACCCGCATGGGGTCGTCGAGTGGCACGACCTTGTGCCCCGCCTGCAACATCGTCCGTGATGATGGACATCCGCGGTGCATGGCCGTCCGATCCGCCCACGTACGTGAAGTATACCTGCTCGGTCGTCCTATTTGTGCCCCCCGCAACGTCCTCTGCGTTCGTCCAATCGTACTCTCCATCCTGATCGATTGCCGCAGAACCCTCTGCTACTCCCCGGGATGGGGGAGGAGGCACATGGTCGTAAGGGAGCAGAGTGGCCGCCCTATCCCCGAATACAGCTGAAACCTCTCGTGAACGGCTTGTGTCGTCCTTGTGGAAAACCTCGATCTGCCTCCTGATCTCTCGATCGCTGAAGGTACCAACAGGTCTCGCCCCCCACACCTTAGGCTCGGGGTCACCGTCTTCCTCGTCCTCGTCCTGCTATCGTCTGTTGTTGTCGACGCCATCCATGACCCGCGGAAGCACATACCTGCAACCCTGCTGCCTACAGGAGGCCGATTTGAGATTTGTCTTAATCTCAACCAGTTGTGCCAGCTTGGCGAAGCCAAGCTTGCCCCGCTTTGCCGTCTGAATGTTCTCGTGGGCCGCCCAATTCCTCTCCGCAGAAGAGGCTGACGTCCACATGTGCATCACACGGATAGCGATAGCACATAACTTTGGGTGGGCAGTCCTGTGGGCAAACCACCATGCCGCGCAATGGTGCGTCTCCTGATCGCCCTGACAATCCTCCGCCTCGACATCCGATACCAGCCGATCACCCCAGTCTCCTCTGCGCGCATGGAATCGACGCATCTGGTCACGGACAACGACGTAATCCCTGCCTGTCGGATCACCTCCAGTCTGGTCAAGGAGAAAACGATCACACTCCTGTACAACCTCTGCATCCTCCGTGGTGGTGTGCAGTGACTCGTAGTACCTCAAAGACCGTCGACGGGGGCTTAGGAGATGAGCGACAACGTGCACGGGCTCCAACAAGTGCATGAGCCGCATCCTGACCTCTCGCACGCACGGGGTCAGACGATCAGCCGACACATCGTCCATCTTCGTCAGAAGCTGAACGTTGAGATGACGGCTCCACTCGTAGACGATGGACATCATCATCCCTCTTCTGTTCATCCGCCTCAGGAGCTGATGGATGGGCTCCATCACACCGATCGAGAACTGCACAAGTCGCCATAACTCACCATTTCAAATCTGAAGACGCACACATCTCACCTGGGGCAGCAGCCTCCGCTCCCACGGGATACTCGCCCAGGCGTCATCATGCAACATCACCTCCAACGAGTCGCATCTCCCAAGGAGACAAGTCAGCATCACGAAAACTGATGTGAAACGAGTCTCAACTGGCTGAACGAGCGAAACATGCGGGCTCTTCCTCTTGTAAAGGGCGAGAGTTGCGACGTGCAATTTAATAAATCGCACCATCGCTCGTGCACGGATGATGGTGTCAACTGCCCAGCCCACTTGTGTCCCAATGTCTGACAACATCAAGTTGCAGACATGGGTCGAGCAGGGGAGCCAAGTGATGCGCCAGACCACTGGATCAAGGTCTGCGGCGAGTAAACGGGTGGTCGCTGTGTAATTACTAGCGGAGTCTATGCAGAAGACTATGACGTCCTTCGCGAGGAAGGACTCAATGATGGCCCTCCACCTGCGGAAAACAATGGCGCCCATCTCCGGTACAGAACCGTCACTGCAAATCGTGTCATAGAGCAGGGCGCCATTTGCACCCACGGGCCGCCTAGGTGCAGGCTGGGAGCCTTTTTTTTTTTTCCCTTTAAACGGCCAGGCCGTGAATAGGCCCAGACAGGGCCTGCACCCTGGGTGTTCGGTCCAAGCCCAAGCCTAAGCTGCTCGCCGGGTCCGGGTGTAGGACGGGGCTAGGTCCTTGGTGTTTTTTTTTTTTTTTTTTTTTCCTTTTCTAATTCGAAGTCGAGGCCTCGACGGGTGTTGGACAGATTCGACGCGATGGAGGTTTTTTTTCTTGCCATCTCTCTCTCTCTCTCTCTCTCTCTCTCTCTCTCTCTCTCTCTCTCTCTCTCTCTCTCCCTCCATCTATCGATTTATCTTCGTCTATATGTGTTTATGTGTATGTGAGTCCATTAATCAATCAATTTGATCGATTGATTGGTTAATTTCTTCTTTTATGCCTTAAACAGTAGCGTTGGTATATGACGATGAGTATTACATTCTAATACAGGTTAGATTATCGTCTGATTTTGTTGTTGGTATATTCATTGTTTTTTTCGTGGTGGTATCTGGAGACAGAGAAGTGTCTGGTGAAACCAACGTGGTGGTGGACATATATATGGAAAGGGGGGTTGAGGGTTCATCACGGTCTGATTGGGATAAGGCTGCATATGATGATGCATTTGAGTCATTCGACTATCCCCTCATTAAAACTCACCTGAAAGATAAGTACAGTGAGAAGTGTTAGGAATGGTCCGAGTATACTGAGACGAACAAGATTAATGAGAGAGAACAACGTTTGCATGAACCTCATTCTAAATTGCGGTATGGTGTTGAAGGTAAGCTTCCTTGTGATTTTCCGTTGAGGAGGGTATTTGGCCGCTACCTCACAGACCATGAAGGCCTTCGATGGACTAGAGATGAGCTACTAGAAATGTTGAAGAAGAAGAAGGAGGAAGTGAATGCATTGAGGAATGCATTTATGAAAGTTGAGTTGAATGCATGATCAGTGGTTGAAACTTTCGTTGAAGCGAAACGAAGTGAAGAGGTAAGAGATTCCTTTGTATCCGGTTTTGGGGTTGTAAAGAAGAAGGCGGATGATACTGAGCAGATGGACAGAGAGTTTAAGCGTTTAATTTAATCGTCCATTATAAACGATTTGTTAGACGAAGTTTGTAAGCTTAATACTAGAGTTGACCCGCACATGTTGCAAGAGCGTCGCGATTTGCGTCGGCTATTAGAAGAAGCCGAGAGTGGGATAAAAAAAATATTGTTGGTAGGTGCCTTACCATCGAGTGATTTTTCTTTTACCTCGGACCTGTTTGAGATTCCATTGAGTGCAACTTTGGAAGACCTTCAAAAAACACGTTTGATTGCTATGTTAGAGTCATTGCGAAATGTTGGTTCAGAGTAGGCACACATGAATGTACTCTAAGAGGTGCAAAATGCGATGAAGTTTTCGATAAGTGATAGTCTATTGAGGGGAACAGTGATCACGCTTGGACATTTCTACAAGCAGATACAAAAATAGTTAATGAATTTAGTGTTCAAGGATAATTTTCTTGATCGATGTGATGACGGATTCACGAATGGCATGCTGACACGTTACAAAGAACAATTGTACGCTCTAAGAATTTTATTGGCAAATGTCATTGATGCTTATTCGCCAATGTGGTTTATGAAGAAGAAGGAGCATATGGAAAAATAATTGGATACTCTCGCGAGCATAAATAACGAACATGAGACAAGATTGCATGAGGTGGTGCTTGCGTTGATTGAAGCATGGAGGCGTTCGTGTCCTAAGTGTGGCCGCTTATTAAGCCATTTGAGAAGGGGGGACTATCAAAAAATTAATGATTTGACGGTTATTAGACGTTAGTGTGACAAAACTACAAACGTTTATCCTGATGGAGATGTCATTGTTGATAAGCAGCAACAATTAGCACTGGAAGAAATGAGGAGGCAACTTCGTGGACGTGACGATGTAGATGAATAGTGCAATTTGTCTTTGTCATTGACTATGAAGTGAATCGTATTCAAGCAATAAAATTAGGAGTGGTTAGAGTGGGATAGACAATGAAGAGGTGGAGTGTGATAGCTGGAAGAACGTGTCGTTTCAATTTTTTTTCCCTTTTCATTAATGATAATGATACTTGAAGGGTTTTGTAATAAGACACTAAAGTTTGTTTTTTTTCTCTCTCTCGCGTCCTCTCTCTCTCTTTTTGTCTCTCTCTCTCTCTCTTTCTCTTTCTCTCTCTTTCTCTCTCTCTTTCTCTCTCTCTTTCTCTATCTATCTATCTATCTATTTTTTTTTTTTCTCTCTCTCTGTTTGTCTTTCCCGCTCTCTCTTATTTTCTCTCTCTCTTTCTCTGTCTGTATTTCTCTTTCATAGTTTTTTTTTTTCCTTCGGTATTTTATTTTTTTACAAATATTTTTTAAATTATGAGAAAATATTATTGATAAATAAAAATACAGGTTGCCTTTGTCGTTTGTTACTATGTTACCTTGTGTTGTATGTATTCATTCTTGTGAAGACGATTTTAACCTTTAGTTGCTAACGTTTTTGAGATTTTATTTTTTCATATTATATGGTGTTCTGTGTTTATTCATATAGTGTTATACTTATTGCTGAAAAACAAGTAGGTAAGTATACTTTGAAAAATATGGGCATAAGATAATATTGAAAAGCGTCGTTTAAAGCGGTTGAAATCAATAAGAACTTTCAAAAAAAGGAAATATTGCAAGAGGTCGAGTGTTATCGCATTGTAAATTTAATGAATAATTGTAAAGAAAGAGTCTCGGTAGTAAAAAAAAAAAACAAAACAAGAACACATTTAGGCCATCTCCGACTAAATGCTATCGAAGGAAAGCAAAGCATGCTCAAGAATAAACAAGGTACATATGACTGTGTTGTATAAAGCATTGAAAATACTAAGGCGCTTATGTGAAGAAAAGTAAATGTTATTGGGAGGGTTGGGTCACGCTATATATTGTAATAAATATTGGAGAAGGAACCAATCCGATAAGAAAGAATAAAGTTGGCAATAAACGTAACCGTTCTCCCAAGGCACCCATGCTATCCCAAACAACCGCCTCTCACGTAAGCCCATTCCAAGAAGTTCTATTTTCTACCCCCTTTGCTCCTATCTCATCAAGGTAGCCTAAGCAAAAAAGGAGAGTAATGGTGAGGCCATCAACTGTTTGGTCGACCTCGACCGCTAGGAATGACTCTTCCTGGAACCACAACCTTCGAGGCTAGTTGGGAAGAGGTGCGGTACGCCGCATAAACCCATTTATGGGGGTGGTGCAATGTTGTCGTGGAGGAGCCAACGCCTACTTCTGATATCCGGGCCTCGTGTCTGGGCGAGGAGAACGGGTACCACGGAGTACATCCTAGCGGTCGGGACTCGGACAGACTGGGAAATACATTTTACCTTCTTCAAATCGTTTGTGGACGGATGACTTACTTAAAATACTCAAGGTTGGCCGGAAGTAGGAGTCGCCTCGAACAAGGTCGATTGGAGCCAAAAGAAGTTCCGATCCCAATAACAAACTTATACGAACAGGAAAGTGAACTATGTCATGCAACGACAAAGGGTAAACGTGGACAAATGAGGTACGTATTACTCTACCCCATGGGGCCGTGAAAAGGCTAAGGGGCGTATAGGATCACAAATCAAACATACGAAAAAAAAAATATCATTTTTTTAAACAAAGTATAGCAAAAAAAAAATGACGCGCCTTGATTAATTAACATATGAATCCGGTGTCAATTGAATGTTCGCAAGAACATGCAACTTGAGCGTGACGTTTATATCTACACAAATGAATGCGTTCCGATGTCAATTAATTAACCTTCATTTCCCTCGACATGAGCATAAAAAATATTTAAAAAATAATAATAATAAATTGATTCTTTTGTACTTTTTTTTTTTTCGCTTGGTGTTGTGACGATTTTGCTTATGTTTTGAATACGCGTTTTTTTTTTGTTTTCTAACTTGACGCTTTATCATTGTTCTTATTATGATAATTATATCTATATATGCGTGTTCATAGATATATTTTTTTTGTCCTGATTTTTTATATGTATCGCATTCCTCATATCATTTAATTTATATGTTATAGCCATGTAAAAATACATACACACACGGTCATTGATATGGCAGGGGACGAAGATGTATGAGAGGGTTCAATGACCAGTAATTTATCTACCGTTTCAAACTCTTCTTCATTTGGGGATAGGTCATTGCATGTTATGTGAAAGCGTCGCAAACGCCTTCGACGTTATGAGGACCGATTATCAATCCTTTGTTGTCTTCTCCAACGATACCTGAGGGTGATCAATCTCCTACCATTGATTTTGCTCAACTGCGCTTCCCTTCGTTACACCACGCTTCTTTTTCGTCGAACGATGCATTAGGATTGCATATAGGTTTGGATATTTCCCCCTGTCGTTGTACGACTGTAACACCGATGTCATTACAACACGAACATTGCAAACGTGGACGACCTCCTTCCCAAAGTCGTCCGGGTCGAAGGTGTTTAGTACAAGTAGTAGGTGCTGCGGGTGATGGGACTACTCGCATGAGAGATAAATAACCAACGGTAACTCGAGATCGTGACCTTGATTATTCTATCCTATGTTGCACCTTTTACGCACCTTCGTACAAGTACGGATTGAGATAAATGACCGATGGTAACTCGAGATCGTGACCCTGATTGTTCTATCCTGCGTTGCCACTTTTATGCACCTTCGTACAAGTACGGATTCGTACACTTGTTACTCATACGTTACTCGTACGTTAGGGGCCTCGTACAGTTTTTTTTTTTTTTTTAATCTAATATAGTTTTTATTTTGTTTATC